GGGGGGGGTGTAGTAATTATAATCCTAACAAAATAAGAAAGGTATATTTAATTATGTATCGAATGAAAAACTCTATTTTTGGCTGGTGAAAAACCCACCAACACAAACACCCAAAACTTGGGTTGATAATTGAGTTGAGTTGAGTTTTAATGCTCAATTTTTCGAACTTGTTTTTTAAATAAGTTTACAAAATTATTTAAATTTCGCTCATTTAAAAAATGAGTTGAGTCGAACTGAGTTGAATTTGAGTCGAGTCCGAGTATGTTAACTATTTTACATATAAACGAATTAAATTTACGGGTTTAAACTTATTTTTTTTAAAGGAGCCTAAAAAATTATTTTAGTCCTATCTAGACCAGTGGGCAAGGTTGCCAACAACTGGTGACTGGTTTTATTAAACCACCTTTGTTATGGGTCCTCTATAAAAAAGATAGTGTCGAGACTGTAATGGGGTATGACTAAAGGATGGCATTGTGGTATTGAAAAATGAATGTCATCTGATAGAGGTAGAGTTAGATTATTCATGATCGATAATGAATTATTGTGATCGAATATGAATAATTTTAATCGATTATAATTTTATATTTAAAATATGTAATTTAATTTTTAAAAATTATAATTTTACACGACTACTCGTAACATTTACAATCAATCATATCATTTGTAATTATAATTTACACTTTAAAAAACAATAATTTAATTTTAAAAGATAATAATGTTTATTACAATATTAATCTTAGTAATATAATTTTTACAAATTATATTACTAAGATAATTTTCCTTTGGTATATATTAAAGAACCCGCCGCAAAACCCCGGCTCTGTTCTCTTTCTCAGATACAAAACGGAAGTGAACCAACCACTCTTTTTGAGCTCTCTCTCTCTCTCTCTCTTCGCTGCCCGTCTACTCATTCATGAATTCCTGGGTCACCCTCACAGCCTCACTGGTGGTCCTTCTCTCCATCGCCTCACTTCCTCTGCTCAAGAATCACTGTACATAATCATCTCTCTCACAAGCTACTCTCTACTTCCATTCATTTCAACTGTCAAATTAAACCCTGAAGTTCACAAGAACATACCTTGTCTGTTGATTTTTTTTGCAGATTTTCTGAATTGGAGACCATGGTGGTCGTCAAATTCAGTAGTAGCAGATTTGTTGGTGACTAATGGGACTATATACACGAGCGATGACTCTCTTCCCTTCGCTGATTCCATGGCCATTCTCAATGGTCGAGTTCTTCGGGTTGGAAACTATTCCTCCCTCAAGGTTATCATCTTCAATCTCCTTTTCATTCTTTTATTCAAATTACCAATTGTGATGTTGAGCTACAGGTGGTTATATATAGATGTGCATATAATTGGGCTGAAAACGAAGAAATTTCTTTTATCAAACATGACGCGTGCAAGAACAACTGGCATAGACTAGACTGGGATGCCACACTTCCCACTTGCAAGAACTCGAAACCTGAAGTGGATACGAAGTTATCAAAATGACCGGTCACCACACTCACACCATATGGATACATATGCTTTATTAATGGGCTATGTCAAAATCTATGAAGTAGTGAGACTCAAAATTGACGTATCCATTTCGAATATTGTATAGGATATGATAGTCGGGCTACGAATGGATATGATAGTTGAGCTACGAATCGGATACTCACTCTATGAATTTTATGATAATATATATTTGGATCCATTGTCAATACGTGTCCACGATGCATATACTTCATAAATGAAAGTGCATACTATGGGGAACAATATGTATAATTTTTAATTTTAACTTTTGCATTTTTCTCTCGAATTCTCATATAATGAAACACATAAGAAAAAATTTATACGACTTAGAAGATTCATTGACTTTTTTAAGTATCTTCTCCTAT